CGTCTAATTTGATGCCCACTCACACCCTCTCTCCGATTTTCGGGTATTATGAGTTTCGCAACTCTCACACGAGCAGCTCTTTCTTGTCACTTTTTGGCATCGTAAAAAAAGTAATAGGAACTTGAAGTTCTCCAAACCCTTTTCGCTGTCATGTAACGCAACAAAAATCGAAATACCCCCCCCTTAAAATGTTCGCCAACGAAGCCCCGTCTTCTTCTTGCTGTGCCGCACGCAATAATCCTTTTTCCAGCATCTTTTCACACAAAACAGACACACACACACACTCACACACACATGCAAGGCACGCGTGTATATAATCCTTTTTTACAGAGCCCCAACCCTTATATCACGCCCCAAACCCCCGACTTTCTCATCTTCGTCAGCAGCTTCGCATATCAAAGCTAATTTATATTTGGTATAGCATACATTTGGGCGTGCAAGCAGTTTTCAGTTACCAACAACCCCCAGCCTAAAAACAAAAAATGAAATAAAACAACAACAGCAACCCTTTCTCAATGCCTTTTGCCCGATTTTTGATAATAAATAGAAAATGTTATAAATTTACATATGTAGGATTTTTTTTTGTATTTTCATTTTTTTGTTTTGGGAGAGTGGGGACAATAAAAAGGGAACAGAATTTTAAATTAGAAAATATTAGTTAGCCCAGAGAACGGTATCTTAACGAACGTACAGTTACGCATTTGCATACACACACACACACACATATATCGTTGATGAGATCTTATGCTTTTTTACTGCTCCTTGTTTTTTGTGTGTATTTTATTTTTTTTTTTTTTTGTGCAGGATCCCCTCTCTTTTTACCGTCAATACATCATTTTCGTCTTTTCTATTTCTCTGTGTACGATGATTTTATGCCACTCTTTTTACTGTTTTTGTTTTTGTTTTGCAGTTTTATTTATTTTATTTTTTTCCTTCGAGATGGGGTTTGAACTCGTTTCTTGTGTGTGCGGCGTTTCGGGTATTTTTTGTTTAATATTTAAATAAATAATTAGCCAAAAGGGATATATGTGCGCATATGTGTGTGTGTGTGTGTGTTTCCCACATCCCCAACCCGCCTCTGTGTGCGTTGCTAATGATGTTTGAAATTGTAAAGCAAATGCAAAGGCATGCCTCGAATCTGAGGATGGAGTGGGGATGGGAATGGGGATCGAGTGCGGGTGGGGCTGGCTTTCAGTCAGAGTTCCTGGAGTATTTAGTCAGAGAGCAGCTCGAGCAATTAATGGATAACAGTTGAGCTGCTTAAATTGGCTCCGGCAAGAAATATTAAACCAGGGTTGCCAAGGAGGAGGATTTTTTGTATAGTTTAGAGTACTGAAAAATAGCAGGCTTATGTTATATGTATAACCTGCCTGCACAAGAAATATTTTTAAATATAGTTGATTCGAAAATTAAACTCTGCTTAAGAGAAATCTCTTCCCAATTCACATTTGCTTTTCTTTTTATAAACTGCCTTCAAAGGAGTAAGGGCGTGTGCCACCTTAACCCTTTCAAGAGCCTTCAACTCCATTTGTTGCTGCTGCATTGATTTGCTTTGATTTATTGTCCAAAACCGCACTATGCAGCCAGCCTCGCGTGCTAACTGCTGTGTTCCAGCCAATGTAGCTACCCTTTTTTGGGCAACAGGGGGTTGAATGGATATGTGGCCCCTGAAAAGCCAGAAGAAGACGACGACGAAGGCACTCGAGCTTGAGCTGAAGCACAATTCATAACATTGCCTTCGTACTAATTACAAAAAGTGCTCGCCCAACCTTCCTTCCCCTGAAAAGTCCGGGAGTTCGGAGTCCGGGAATCATGAAATCCCGAGGTCCACACAGCAGCAGCTGCTGCTTCTCCTTGCCTGCCGAAAAGAGAAGAATTCCCTGCTCGTCGCGGGTCTTGAGGCAAACTCACTTCAGACAAACAGCTTAAGACAATGCCGCATGCTGCAACTTCAGAGAGTGTAGAAAACGGGGGCTTTTGGCGAATGAGTTGACATGTGCCAAGCACACGACGATTGCGAGCAAACAACTCAAACACACACACGACACAAAAAAAAAAAGAAGAATAAAAAAAAAAAATACAGAATCAGAAACAGAAACAGGCGTTCGAAATGGGATAAGGACTTTCAAGTAGGGCCTGCCAATAGTTGATACAATTGCAGTCTGTGACCTCAAACAAAAAGCATTGAATGAATATATATATATTAGATTAATATATAATCATAATTACGCCATGGAAATAAAGTAAGCTTGTATTGTATGGTTTTCGAATGTCGTCTCATTAGCCCATCCAAAATTATTCACAATTTCAATTCCATTTGAGTATGGATGGAATTTTAACAGTCCCTTTGGCAAGGGACTAACATTTCACTTAGCATTTTTGGTTCGCGAGCGAGAGAGATTTTTACCCGTTTTCGTATACATTTGGCTCGCTTTTCTTTTTGTTTTTGAAAAAGCTCCTTTGAAGTGGCAACCGGCAAAATATTAAATGAAACCCAAAAACGAAGAGGGAGCTGGCTGGGGCACGCTAAAAGGGTGCTCAATACAAAAATACGAAAAGCATTGCCCTGCTATAAGCTGACCACACACACGGGGGCCAAAAGGACGAGAGAGCCATTAAAGTGGGCAAAGCCCCACAAAAAAAAAAAAAAAAAACCAAATAAAATAAAAAAAAAAAGGAAGAAAAAAAAGAAAAGTCCCGGCAAAGCCACCCGCATTTAAGTTAATTAACTCATTTGGTTGGCAACTGAACTGGGCTGCTAGCTAAACCAAACTCGAAGTGGGCCAGAATCGTTAGACTGGCTGGCATTAATTGATTTGCCCACAGAATCCATCCAATGCCGTCACAAGGAACCAAGAAACTATTTTCCGAGGTGGAAAGAACAACAAGTGCTGCCTTTCTCACGGGGATTTCGTTCGGTTTTTTTTTTTTTGGAAGAGCGCACTGATCAATTTTAGTTCTGGCGGTCCAGCAAAAAGTCAGCGAAAGAAATGGAAACGTGGCAGCCGGAAACAGAAAATGAAAACCGAAATGGAAAAGTATCCCTTCGCTGCTTCTGCCTCTGCCTCTGCCTCTTGGTCATAATGAAAACAATTTTCAAGCTTAAGCAGCTCACGAGAAGCGGCAACAACAAGACAGCAGCAGCAGCAGCAGCAGCAGCCAACAACCGAGGTCTTAAAACAGAGCAACCACACTGAACCGCCGGGAGAGCCACCTACCTACCTAACCAGCCAACCCGCCAAACCACCCAACACCACCCAACCACCCAACACCACCCACTTTCCAGCTGTCTGCCCGAGTGTCTGGCATTGGGAATGGAAAGGACGACGTCGGACGCGAAGGACAAAACTGCAGCTCTCCCCAGAGCGCCCAACCGCTTGTCTGTTGTTTGTACTTAAGAGCTTTTAAATATCATAAATATATATATAAATATATATATATCTACGAGGAGAGCACTCCCCCTTTTGGCTCCATCGTAATGAGGATGATGATGTTGACAAATATGCCTGGCAGGGCAAGAAAAATTATTTGCTTTTGGTTTCCCAGGGATATAGTCATTAAGCGTAAGCGAGAATCATCGACAGTCGAACGTTTTCAAGGGTGTGGGTGAGAGCTATTAAGGGAAGCTGTACATACAGAGAAAGAATATGTTCTTTATGTCCTCAAGTGATCTGAAAAATCTCATCTTATAATCATGCTGAATTCAACACATTTCGCTTTTCTGCTCTCTGTAACGACTTCCTGCTTAACTCGATTGGAGAATCGGAGAACGGGAACCATCATCAATACGAAGTAGAACAACTTGGCCAAGACAACCGGCAAAGGCTTAAGTCTCACACCAAATAGTTTTCGGTTTTCAGCTTGGGAGGAGCAACAGCCAACAGCACTAACCCATCGACTAATTTCCAAAGTTCTTTATTGCCTGCAACGCCCACCGACTGAAGTCCTGCTTTTTTGCTAGCTTCCGGTATTTATACAAATAAAATTGCACACAAAACCCAAACCAAACCAAACCGAACCGAACTGAACTGAACCTAGCCAACAAGTACAAATCAAAGGAAAATCGAAGCAAAAGTCATCGCCATTTGCTGCTTGGGCTTGGGCTTAGGCAAAAGCGAAATGGAAATGGAAGCCTTAAAACTTGGGGGGAAATCAGATTCTAGTCTGGGTCCCAGACTAATTTGCCAAAAAAGTTTGCACCGCATATTTTTGTAACCTTCTTCGGGAGCTCTTTCTACTGTTTTTTATTTTCCCCCCTTCAGTTCAGTTCACATTCAGTTCAGTTGAGTTCAGTTCAGTTAGTTGAGCCCAATGGTTTCTGTGTTTTGTTGTTTTAATTTCTCAATTTTGAACGGGGGAAAAGAGGAGACTACTACTTCCACCAACACCAACACATCGAAGGTCAGGGGTCACTAATGGCAGGGAACATTTTCAAGTTGGGCTTATCGATACCGGCGATAAACTATAAATTTGTTGTTCCTGCCTCTATATCCTTGTTGTTGTTATTTGTTGGGCTTTTTTGGTTGCTAATGCAGACGGAAATACTTCGGAATGTTTTTTAAGCCTTCCGTCTGCTCGACTCTCCTTTTGTGCCATTTGGTGTGATTGTGTGTGTGTTTGAGTGTGTTTATGTGTGTGTGGCTGTGGGTGTATTTTGGTTCTGGCATTTTCGGGGGGCCGAGAAAAGTTTTTGCAACGTATTAATTTGGCTAAATTTAACCCGTAATGACTTTAAAAGTAAAATTAATGAGGGTCGATAGTTGGCCTAAGCTGATGAGCAAGTGTAGGCGGGTGCAAAAACTTTTATGCTTTTTTGCTTTAAGCAACATATGTGCAGGACATTGTTGCTCGACTGCTTTTGGTGGGTAATGATTTATTTAAATTAAATGGATAATATAATATATGAGGGGAAGAGTTTCTTTTTTTATAGAAATAAATGCATACAATAAATAATTGAAAACTAATCCCAATTTCTGGTTTGATAAATGAATTTCTTATAGCGCGCTACTTTGGCCGAGAAGGAAGTGAACACACTCAAGGAGCAGCTATCGACCGGCAATCCCGAGAGCAACCTTAGCAGCGACAACAACGACACAACAGCAGCAGCAGCAGTTGTTGCAGGAGCAACAGCAACCAACGACAGTGAGGAGGATCAGCAGCAGCAGCAGCAGCAACAAGCAACCAGAGGCGGTGGCATTTTGGAGAGCGACAGCGACAAGCTGCTGAACAACTCCATTGTTGCAGCGGCCATAACGCTGCAGCAGCAGAACGGCAGCAATCTGCTGGCGAACACAAACACGCCGTCGCCATCGCCGCCGTTGCTCAGCGCCGAGCAGCAGCAGCAGTTGCAGAGCAGTTTGCAACAGAGCGACGGTGTCGGTGTCGGTGTCGGTGGCGGCGCCTGCCTCAATCCGAAGCTCTTCTTCAATCACGCCCAACAGATGATGATGATGGAGGCGGCAGCTGCGGCAGCAGCGGCGGCACTGCAACAGCAACAGCAATCCCCGTTGCACTCGCCGGCGAACGATGTTGCAGCAGCAATCAGCACAGCGGCAGCGGCAGCAGCAGCAGCAGCGGCAGCAGACCAGCAGCAGTCGACGGCATCGACGGTACAAGCAGCAGCAATACCCGCTGCCACGAGCAACATCAAGGGCAGCAATTGCAGCAGCAACATCAATCACACCACCAGCGGCAACAACAACAACAACAATAGTCACCAGGGCGAAGAGGAAGACGAAGAGCTGGACGAGGAGGAGGAGGACGAGGAAGAGGAGGAGGACGAGGACGATGAGGAGGAGAACGCCTCGATGCAATCGAACGCTGATGATATGGAGCTGGATGCACCGCAAGAAACCAGAACTGAGTCGAGTGCAGCAGTCACACAACAGCAGCCACAGCAAGAGCAGGAGCAGCAGCAGGATACAGAGGATCTTGAGGATCCAAAGGATGCGGGGGATGCTAGTTTAAATGTTAGCAATAATCACACAACCGATAGCAATAATAGTTGTAGTCGAAATAACACCAACAACAGCGGCAACGAGAGCGAGCAACATGCGACCCATTCAACGGAGGACGATGATTGCGCCAACAACAATACAAACACCAGCAATAACAACAACACCAGCAACACAGCCACCGGCAACACCAACAATAATAACAACAACAATAACAACAACAACAATAACAACAGCAACAGCGGCAACAGCGAGAAGCGCAAGAAGAAGAACAATAACAACAACAACGGACAGTCTGCTGTTTTATTAGCTGCCAAAGATGAAGAGGTAAGTTATATTTAATCAATTCTCGATGTTACTGAATAGATTAGCCGGGAAATCAGAAAATCAAAGTCCTGAACAGTAAACACTTTAAGCACTAACCTAGCAGGTTAAAGACATATTCCAAATGCTTCTTTCAACCCGAAGCTCTCAACTGTAGATTAAAAACAGACCCTCGGGCAAAAAGTATACTGTCTAGCCACAACAACAAAAAAAACAGAGAACCAAAATAACTTTAAGTGACTTTTTAATTTAATAAACTGTAGCGGACTTAGGTCAAATATCCCTATATAAATAAAATAAAATAAAGCGCAATGAAATGTAAAACCGTTAAGATTAGACAAACGTCGCCGCCCACACCGAAAACCGAAATTCCGAGTACGCGAAAAGGCTTTGAGAAAAAGAGCGGTTGGTTGGTAAAAAGGATACCATAGACTGCTAAAGTAAAAAAAAAAAACGAAAAAAGGAGAGAAATTCCAAACCGCAGAGGACGACGCACGATTGACCGAGGACCACCGACTTCCCAAACCAGTATGCACAATTGAGAAAACACTTGCAGAAATAAACAAAGACCCCTTCACTTCAGAAAAGTCCTCGCTTTTCCAGCCTTCCTTTCTTGTAATTTTCTAGCCAAACAGAGAAAAAAATGTTACCCGACTACGACGAACCGAAACCGAACAAAAAATACAAGACAAACAAATGAGCGGCGCGACTTTTGACTTCTGCTTTACACCCCTAGGAAGAAGAAGCAGCAGCCAAAAAGGGACAAACAAGCAAAAAAAAAAAAAAAATAAAGAAAGGAAAAAAAGTGCGGATAGGGATTTGAGCCTTTTTCCCTGGGCCAGGACAGTAAAATCAACCCAACATCAAGCCAAGGAAAAAGTTAGGAGGAAACTTTTGCGACATGGAAATGAGGTTGGAGCTCCAAGGACAAGGACTAAAAACAAGGGGTGTAAAGTGATATCATTAAAATATTGACAAGACAATTTTTACGCCTACAAATTTGTTGAATGCCTTTGCTTACACAGCACCAGATGATAGGTAAACAAAGGGGAATGATGGTGAAGATGGGTTCGAGTTAGAAATCTAAGCTTATTTATTGGGCTTACAATTTTATAAATCATAGTCCAGTTCCTTGATAAGAGGTTTTTCTTTTTCTTTAACGAAATAAACAATTAAAAGAAAAGGGTATTCCCCCTTATTGTGTGGTTTTTCTTATTGGAAAACCCACCGTATAGAAAGATTGCTTATCCGTAAAACCACCCGTGAAAAGCTTCGACTTGAAGTGTTTCGTGTGGCTTTTTTTAATGATTTAAAGATGTGCACACAGAAGTGGTGCATTGCATTTTAGCATCAATCATTATCATTTGCCATTAAGTGCAACAGCAGCAGCTTCTTTTCCATTAGCAACCCCTAGGTGTTTCAGAAGGAGAGTGTAAAAAAGGAGGGAAAGCACATTTCTTTAATGTTTTATCACTTCACTTGGCCAGACTTCGCAACCAGTGGCTTAGGCAAGGATTTTAGCCAGGGATTTAAGAACCTCAAGGGGTTTCGTAAATATTATGCAGAAATTCATTTGCCTACAAATTATAGAAAACTAAAAAGGTGTTGCTAGTTTATTTGTTAAATTTGTTAAAAGAAAAAAAATAGGTTTAAAGACCACTGGCTTTACTTAAAAATGTACTCCTGTTTTTTTTTTACACCCCATTTGGTGGCTTTGACTTTTAGCCCGCGTTTTCTTGTCTAAAATCCATTAAAAGCTATTTTCGCCGCCTGCTGGTGGGCCCAAACTCATAAGTTTGATCACGGCCGCCCGGACAACACCTCCTCCCCTCCCAACCTCCCCCTCCGCCGAAAGCCCCCGTTTCGAATGCAGAACCCCAAACCGACGCCCATGCACAGCTGTGATAAATGCACTCGACTGACAACTAAATCACTTATGAACACTGCTGTGTGCGTAGATTCAGATTTATCTGTTACACATGTTCATAAATATGCGACAATATTTTTTTGTCCTCGAAGTGGCAGCCGAAGATGATCGACAGGAATATGAACGGAGAAGCCCAGGGACTTGCGTTTACGTTCATGGGCAAATTATTAGTAGCTCTTAAGTTAGAATTTTAAATTGAAAAGATGATAGAAAACTGTAACAAATCGTAAAAAATTCAGAGCCAGAAAAAATATGAAAAAATCTTTATTTTATTCTGGATTTAGCAACAATTATTATTCCATCCACAACTGTTGTCTGTGGCGCGAGTTTTTGCGCAGAAATCATGTTAAATGGAATTGCAACAGTTGTTTGTTGTTAGAGTCGGAGTGCAGAAGCTCCCCACTAGATGTGCGTTTGTTTTGGCTATGAGGCATGTGTTTATTTTTTCGCAGAAGTGCATTTTTATAGACAAAGTGCTTTGGGCCGCGTCTCGCTTCCAAAAATAAATCGCAAGAAAAAAAACAAAAACGAAAAAAGAAAAAATAATAATCAACAAACAAAAAAACTAAATGCTTCTTGACAGCGCAAACAAATGAACAACAAATTAGCAGCGGGCAGCTTCCGCTTCGATTTGGCTTCGTTACTTCTACTAAGCACATATTATTTTGAAACAAAAACGACACGTTCGATGGCACTTAGTTATACTTTTTATCACGCAGCATACAAATACAAATATGCGGAAAAAAACCAGCGAAATACAAGAAATATATCCATTAAAAAATACAACACATTCAGCCGCATCTGTAGGTCACATTTTCTTTGTTTTTATCTGCTCCCAAAAACAAAAACAAAACAAAAAAAAACAGTACTCAAATATGTATATACACATATTTATAGAATTTCTTTATCGACATTTTTCACATATTTATTTTATGCATAACGATAAAAAAGGCCAAGCCCCAAAACGAAATCAATTTTTTATGGACTTTGTTTTGCGGCTAGATTTAGTTGTTTATCCTAACACCAGAGCGTGGAAAAAAAAGAAAAAACAAAATTATATCTGATTAGCGGTGAAGGAAACCACAAACATTTATGGAGTGCCCTTTTAAATGGGAACTCATTGATAATTCTGCTTCTGATTTCGAGCAAGTGGTTAAATATCAAGTAAATACTTGAAAATGCAAATAATCATTTTGAATTTGTAGTCTGATAACAAGTTTTGGGGAAAACCTTAACCATATAAAAAAATAATAAGTTAAAGTAACGTACAAATTAATAATTTTAAACTAAAAACCCTTGCCGTCATACTTTAGGATTTATTTAAAATTCGGCTGATAAGAACACCCGATTATTTAGCACAGTTTTTGTTTTTGTCCCGCATTTCATAAATACTCATTCGTTGACCAGCATAAACCGAACGTTCGAGCGTGATAGATAATCGGTTTAGAAATAATAGAAATAATCATAATTTTTCATGCACAAAATTCGATTTGTGCTTATCATCGCGTGTCTGCGATCCCCATTTAATTCGATCCCACGATGGGCGCTCAAAAATTAAATATAATTCTCGCATTGACGGATGACTTTCTCGGCTAATTGAAATTGAAGTATATGATATTTTTCGGGACCATATTGGTTATTTATATGCGTATAGATACGCTATAGTTATTTACTGAGACCGTCTACGTCAGAGGCAAAACCCCGTTTAGGGTTGGATAGTATATAGTATATAGTCTATGCCACAGTTTGGTTGACACAACCAAATATTTGGATACACGCTCCAGGCGAAAGACAATGCGAGTGTTATTTTTAAATGCAAATCGAGCGGAAAATCCATCAAATGTCTAACGCAAATGGTCTAAATTTAAACCCAGCCGGCGCAAGGCAGCAGAAAACCAGATCAACTGTTTAAACAACTCATCGATCGCCTGATAATTTTTCGTCAACTCTCGCTCACTTCTCTCTCATTTTCTAATCATCAAACAATATATTGTCGTAATCTTTCGATTCCAAGGCAAGAGCTCAATTATTTTAGATTTTTTATTAATTTGATTCTCATTGGGTTTATTTATTATTGTTGTTGTTGCTGTTTGGTATTTGTCAAATGTTTGAAATGATGCAAACCAAATTATTGGCGATTATTCGAATTTAGTATGAGTTATTATGCCAGTCGAGGCAAAAGTTGAACTACAATATATATTTGGTGCGCTCTTTTGAACGAAATGAAACAGGTAACGTGTATATGATTTTATCACATATTATTAGTCTCAATTCGAACACAAAAACGAACTGAACTGAACAGAACTGAACTGAACAGTAGTATTGTACAAAAAGACATACGGCGAATAATAAATAATAATAATGCAAATACAAATACCAGCCACACAATTGCAATTATTCAATTCAAATCAATCAGCACACGAATACCAAAGCACATGGATTACTGGAGACATTGAGCTTAGTTTAGGACTACTGCCTGCAATGATTACTACTGTATGCTGATGATGATGCTGCTGCTGTTATGCTTATCGTGCCTGTTGTTGCCATTTGTATTTGCTGATTAAAGTGAAAAACAGTCATTATCGTGCACAGTGGCGTTGTCAGAGGGGGCATTCTATTTTATTTTTTTATTTATTTATTTTTTATTTTTTTTGTAAGGAGGAGATAGCTTCTCAACAGTTCTCCTTGTGATAAAAATCCCCCTCAATCAGATAATTTCCCATGCCTCTGATCATCCACCCACTCTCCTGCTTTTTTCGACCAATTGCGGATAAATTCAATTTATTTATCGCATATGGATTCTGATCGGCGAGTGTGTGCGCCTCTCTATCTCTGTCTGACCCAAACGCCCCTCTCTTTCGCACATTGACTGATTTCTGTCGCCGTATGTGGATGTGTACTTTTAGTGCCTAGTATAGTTCTGTTCTGTTCTGCTGGGTAAATGTGTGATTTTGATTTTTTTAAATTGATTATTTCCTTATTTTCGTTTGTTGGGCTTTTGTTGTTGCGTGAGCTAGTTCAGTTCAAATTGGAATTAAAAAAAAAAAAAAAAAAAAACAAGTTTTGTTGATGCGAC